AACTACATTGAGTATTTGAAAAATACAAAACATTATTTCAAATGATGTATTCTTAAGCAACATTAGAAGGAAGAGGAAAAACAGTTATTAAATAGTATATTAGTTGAATGAATGACAGTGACATTATTCCTTTCATATACACTTCAATTCTTTAGTTAATCAACATTTATCTTATTCAATATCATGTATCAACTTTGTCATCACAATAATAGTAGCTAGAAAAACAATTTTTAAAGATAGGACAATGAAGACAACTAGACCACTATTATCATTTTCATCGTTTTTAATAATAACAGGATAACTGATCTTTGTGTGTGTGTGTGTGTGTGGGATTGCGTAATCCACGATATTTCTCCTTCAAACTATTCTCTCTCTCTCTCTCTTTCTACGTCTAACAGAGTAATGAACAGATGCTTAAACAACCAAAAGTATAGATATCGTCTTTTTTTCGTGTGGTCACGGAAATCAGAATATTGTTTATGTTAAGTGGAATTCAATGTTATCTAGATCACTTAAAATAGGTTTGTAGTACATTTTGAATACATTCAAGTTATATCAGTGGAGATATTTCTCTTTAATAATCACTAAATCATTATTGACAAAAATTGTTTAATGTTTTTTTTCACTAGAAAAACATAATAAGAGAACTCTGTTAACACATGACTATAAAGTCTGTTCATGAATAGATGGATTTTTTTATAAAGAAGAATTTATTAATAAAATAAGTATTATATATTCAATTGAATAGATTTTTATGAAAATCATTTAGTAATAAATTAATATTGATGAACAAAAGGATATACATTGAGGAAAGTACCCAATCGCGTCACAAGACAAGTCCTCACATGGAACCCTCAAGGCCAAAAGAGAAGGGGAAAACCAAAAAAACACATTTTGCCCAAGAAGTGGAGACAGATATGAAGAAAATGAAAAAAAATTGGATAGAACTAGAAAAGAAGGCCTAGTGTAGAGTGGGTTGGAGAATGCTGATCGGCGGCCTATACTCCACTGAGATTAACAGGCGTAAGTTAGTAAGTAAGTATTGATGAACAATATTCATTAGAGATTTCAAATTGTTATTAGATTTTCGTAAACATTTTAATTTGAGTTATTAGATTAGTTGTTTAGTTCTTTTCAATGTTTAACATCTACAAGAACTGAGTTTTCATTCAGTCTTGCTAAATAAGTAATCTTGTGAGATATATAAACTAACGAACATTTTGATATGTGATGAAGATAGAACCGGGTTACAGGATTGGTATTGCCAGTCCTTGATTTCCGGCTTGATAAGTTCTAACTATAAAGCTTATCAGTATTACGGAATAATTCGTTTTTTTCTTCACCTTAAGTGAATTTTAATTGGTAACGTCGTCAAATTAGAAAACATTGCATGAATGCAAGGAGATGTATAATATTTATTTGTTTAGGTACAAATTGTACAAACAACTACGATTTTCAGTTTAGGGGTTGTGGAGATTGTTAAGTTTTTGATTGAGATCATGTGTCAATTGATGTTAGACCACCATTGAAAGCCACAGTACAATGGAAGATGGTCACGCAACATTAACACCACTGGATGCCGGTTCAGTGGTCCAGTAGGTTAAGCGTTCGCGGCGCGAGACTGAAGGCCCCCAGGTTCGAATCTCGCAGGCGGGATCGTGGATGTGCACTGCTGAGGAGTCTCACGATAGGACGAAACGGCTGTCCAGTGCTTCCAGATTTTCAAAGGTGGTCTAACATCAATCGATTCATGAGCTCAATCAAAAACTATGATTTTGTTATAGTTTAATTTTTTTAAGAAAGCCTAACTGTAAAGGAAATTGCACGACCATTTAGTTATTTACTCGAACATGTTTCCGGAGCTTACGAATTATTAGAAATACTTGGATTCGAGTCCCGAAGTGAAAACCAACTCTGAAATACAGGTAGCTCCAGCTAGCGAGTCCTGAATGGGACGAAACACGCATCCTAAATTCCACCGTTAGCTACTATCCATCTTTGTTTATAAAGCTTGTGACTTAAGACAGTATCAAGGCAATCCACACAGGATGCACAGATGCCAACAAGAGACTGATCAACTACAGTCCTAAACAACATTGGGAAGATACAAACAAACAACACGAAGTGAATTTTTACATAGACAAGGTCGATAGATTATCGACCATAAAAATAATTCATTGATGCTTCCATATAGAAACATTATGCATGACTGACTGGGTTGTTTTATAAACCTGCTTAAGACCTGACTAAGTATTTGAAAGTAGACGGATTTGTATTTGCGTATATGACTTTCCGTGCTGCAAGATTATAAAGTAAGCAGTCGGGGATTTTGACAAGTGCATGAACCATTTAAGTTTGACTTTAGGAGGTTATTGGAGACTGTTGAATTTTATAATTTAGATCACGGACTGATCTTAATAAAAAAAAACATTAAAAGCCAGAAAGATTGAATCATTTGTTCCATCCTAGTATGAGAATCTTCAGGAGTGACTATACACGGCTCACCATAAATCGAACCTTGGAATTTTCATACTCAGTGACCGCTTAACCTTTAAACTACTAAGGCATGTAAACTACCTGTTTCCGGCTAAATATTCCAAACGTTAAGTCTTACCCTAGATACCTAAACGTTCTTTATCCAAGTTTCATTACTATTCAGTAATTGTTTTTATTGATTAGATTCATAAGCTGATAATCAAATCAAAAGTTTCTCAAGTTACACATGACATCGTTTTATATGGTTTATCAATGTTACAGTGCCCTCAAATGCCCTGGTACGGCCAAGAGTGGGAAAGTCCGCCAACCCTCTCGAAATGCTCTCACATGGCCACGCATATATAGCCTCTGCCAGGAAAGTCCTACTCACCGCCTTCTCGTGGCATTACTGTTGTTTACGAAATTGAGAGGATGAAAAGCGAATGTCTGGCTCTTTAAGCGGATTGATGGACACGGAGATTCCACCTAGGGGAGTTGAAAAACCCTGATTCCAAACCAGTGGTGCACATGGGCTCAAGTGTCCTGAAGGAACAAATGGCGTATGAACCACTGACTGTCATGAGACTGCATCTCCTGATGTTGCTCCACTGCCTTGTGAATCAGACCATCAGGTCGAAGTCTCTGAGTGTGGCCTCCTAAGCAAACCACCTGCTTCGGTTTGAGCACCCGATTAGTATCACAGCCCTCACACATATGAAATGAGATTTGTGTGGCACATATGTATTCGGTGCCTGCTTGTACCAATAATCAGTGTTACAGTACACTTTATTCAGTATTGAAAATCAATTAAAAATATAGTTTGATTTAAATCATTTATATAAGATTATTAAACATTCAGATACACTTCATTCTTACCAAAAAGATCACCTGTTTTTTCTAACATAGTTTTGTAATAGTTATCTCGTTTTTTTTTTGTTTTTTTTTTAAAAATAAACATAGTAACTAGTTTTCTCCTCTAAATTTAAATCAATTTAACTACCTCTCATTAATGTATTACGTAATCACTATTATCATCTACCAAATGTAACATAAATGGAACCATTAAAAGAAGAAAAAGAATAATCCATGTGATTTTCTTTTTTTTTTACATTAAAGATTTTATCTGAAATCATTAAAATATCTCTAATATAACTTTTATCAATCCTTATTTTCACATACATGTTACTATGCCTAATAGATTACTTTTATGTCAACTTTATTGATTTACATAAAAGAAGCATTACACCGGAAAATTATTTTTAATCGTTAAATAGATATTTCAATGTATGTTCTTTTTTCTTTTCTATAATAATTTGTATGTTTTCAGTTAACTTATGTTATACAGTTCTAGATAAACCTCTATATATGGAATTTTTACATTTACATAAAAAGATATTTAACTTATAAAGGTGTTATATTTTGATTCTGATATAGAATTTGATATAGAATTCCTTGGAGATTAGTTCATTTGAAATCAGCTTCATCATATTTTTACATCAGTTGCACATGGATTCAACATAAGGAAGTGCTGTGTATTTGTTTGTTTGTTTTTTCTCTATACATCATTTTTATACTATTTTGAAACCTTTTTCACAGTGAACATTTTATCACGATTCATAATTGTAGTATATTCTTTTAGTTTAAATTACATGGTCAATAACCATAATTAGATTGTTTTGCCAACTTTCATGATAAGGAAATCGTGAATTAGGGAGTAAAGAAAAAATGATCAGAAATAAGTTGATGGTTTACTTTAAAAAATTTTTTTGTATTAAACAGTTGAGATCATTAGTCAATTGAAGCTAGACCACTATGGAAAACCTGGAAACGCTGGACAGCCGTTTCGTCCTATTGCTTCCAGGTTTTCCATGGTGGTCTAGCTCCAATTGACTCATGATCTCAACAGTTTAATTTAGTACAATCTCCACAAAACCCCTTCTAGTACTATTTTTATTATTTTACGATAGTGATTAAAATTGAAAAAATGTAGACTAATGCATTCTAGCTTGATTATTTGAAATATATAGTGTGGACTAATGAAGTGACTACAATATTTTTCTGTGTAATTGTTAAGATACTATATCAAAATTATAATCAACGAATTTTTCAATGATATAACAATTCAATTAGTTTTATATGTATACATCACAAGTTAATGGCTGGGTGATCTCAAAGTTAAGTATTCATGAGCAAGATCAAAGATTATTGATTCGATTCGTGTATGTTCAATGTTTAAGAATCCTATAGTATGATAAAACCTCTGCCTAGTGCTTCCTAATTTTTACTAGTGGCCTAGATACAATCATTTTATAATTAAAACTATTAAAATTATATCTCAACGTTAATTTGCATACATTGGAAGTAAGCTAAAATACAAAATCTTTATATCTATTTAATTCAATGTAGAATGTCCTAAGTTTTCAGAAATTTCTAAAAGGGGATTAAACTTCTTTTTTTATAGAAAGACATCACTGAAATTTTTCCAAAGCAACGGCAATTATTTACACTTAAAAAAAAAGGCTTACATTATCAGTATAATTTATTCCAGATTTTTATTCTTCTCATTTGTATAGTGAATAGTAATTGTAGTATATTCCATTTGTACATTTAAATAAATAGGAATAAGTTAATATTCACTTTTCATCAATGTCTTTGTACTAATATGTTTTGATAAACGTGTATATGATTCTATTCATATGTAAGCATATGTGTATTCTGCATCACAGTCATTTTACATTATTATTATCATAAAATAATGATAATTGTTCATTTACTCAATCAGATGATTAATTGTTGTACAATACTGTTAAAAGAATATCATTTATCGGTTAGTGTAGAAGTGGTCCTAAGAATATCACTAGTACTATTAGGAGATGTACTAACAACATTGGTAGTAGGAGTAGATAACTGTGAGTGAAACTTTTTATTTGGTAGTGTATGATGTTTGTCATAATTTAATCCTGTCAAACCTGGTGGTACATTGGCGATGTGTTTACGTATTTCTGAGGAAATATTTTTCTTATCTTTACTCTGAAGAGTTGCATATATATTACCATGTAACGGACAAGGTGTGTAAACCGATGAATTCAAACAGTTATTATCATTATTACTGACAGTTTTATTGTTTATATTACCTGAATCAGTAATTATAGCTTTATTAGTTTTTATTGCGACATTTTCCTCAGAAGTACTCGATATTTTCATATTACTTACAGAAGTAGTTAAATTTGAATTTTCCATTGCATTATATTTTTTTATGTTCGATGAAGAAATATGAGATTCTGGAATTACTTGCATAGATCCAGTAACAACACCATCATAATTAATATCTACATTATTTGCAGTAGATACTGTCGGTGGATCTGTAGAAACTTGATGTATAAATGCATAGTTATGTATAGGGCAAGGAACAGTAAGGTCACTACCTGTCACTGTTGGTAATAGACGAACTGTTACATAATTATCAAATGTTGGATCACGTGATTTATTAGATAATAGATTGTGTTGATCTAAGACGTCAGAACTAGTGCAATGCAAGTAGACATGATCATTTAATTCAGATGTTGGAGAACGTTTACACGTCATTGCTATATTCTCATTCTTAGGTCCCAATTGTGTACAAAGATTAAGATTTTGTCCTTGGAGCGTATACGTACTTTTTGAATTACTAATAGTATTTTTATCACTTAAAGTACTAAAATTACCAGTGTTTATTGTATCTGATTCACCAGCTAGTCTTGGTTTAGATTGATCTGATCTATTATCATAAGTTGGCATTGTTTTATTAATGCATAATTTTGGTCGACAATACATCTTTCCATTGAATAAATAAATCAGTAAGCCCATAATTACTAATAGTATGATTAAACATACAGCAATCATTCCAGTGTACTTGAGCACAAGAGTTGTATCCAATTTACTAATCCAATGAAATATACCATTATGATAAAATGGTTCGTCTATAGTTATACCACCATCCACTTGTACATTGAATGTTGTATTTACATGTCCATAACCTGTATCCAAATAACAAACATATGTACCTGCATCAGAATTTTGTATATTTTCAATAATTAATTCAGCTAAAAAATTTCTCCCTTGACTTTGTTTAGTTGTTATTCTTGGCCAATGATTTTGTATTCTAGTTCCATCTTTATACCATATTACAATACCGGATGGATCAGCAAAAAATTTACAACTTAATGTATCATTATTACCCCATATAAATTGAATTTCTTGATTCGGTGTATATGATTCTGGTGAACAATGAAAATCTACACTACGTATCATTTGTTTACCATTATTATTATTATTATTGATTGGATTAAATAATGGTTTTCCATGTAATTTCATTGGTGTTGCACATTTTGGTTGTAATAATGTATTCATTTCTAATAATTGATTATTTAATTTATGTTCATTCATTAACCAATTATTTGTATCTAAATCAATATGATTATTATTATATAATATAATATCATTTATTGATTTATAATATATTAATTTTGTATTATATTTTAAATACCATTTTATTAACCATCTTAAATGACAATCACATTTCCATGGATTCCCATATAAATATAATTCATTTAATTGCATTTGATTAAATATTATTTCATAGGAATCAGGTAAATTCTCTAAATATGTATTACTTAAATCTAATAATTTTAATTTATATAAACCATAAAAACTTTCATTATATAATTGTAATTTCATTAAACTATTTGATAAAATAATAGATTGTATAGTATGACCAATTGGTAAAAAGAAATGATTTGGTATATGTTGCAATGGATTATGTAATAAATTAATTGATTGTAATTGATTTAAATGATACATAATCATTGGATGAAATGATTCATATGATATAGTTAATAAATTATAACGTAAACTTAATTTTTTTAATTGAATTAATTGTTTAAATGTATTTGGTTGAATAATTTTAATTTTATTGGAATCTAAATTTAAATCAATTAAATTTGGTAAATGATTTAATTGTGTTTCATTTAATTGATGAATATTTTGATGATTAATAATTAATTTCACTATTTCAATTGGTAAATTAATTGGAATTCTATGAAAATTTGTATTTAATTTATCACATATAGATTGACGCATTGAATAATTATCATTATAAACAAATGTAACACAACCTTTTATAGAATAGACTTTTGGTAATGATTTCATAAATTGTATAATGATACAATAAATAATAATGAAATGAATAATGATTATGAATAGTGATTTTGTCATTAGATTATTAATGACAAATTATAGAATTATCATAGAAATGATTAAATCAATATAAATAAGAAATAACAATGATTAGATCGGTTAATTATCTGTATATTCATATATAGATATATAGATATACCTGATAAGTTTATATCAATGGAATAATTATGATGATAGTCACTTGTATAATTGTGTAATAGGATTCTTCATTTTTTTGGCTCGGCGGGGGGGGGAGGACAGGGGGATTTTATTCATAATCGAGATGAAAATAAACAAATGATTATTGTAATGAAAGATCAAAGATCAGTTTCATTAATTTACTTTTCTTTTTTTTGGTGTAAAATGAAAAAATAGAAATAAATTCGTTATATAAACATATTTAATGTAGATTTTTATTGATACACTATTGGAATAGATGAAATTATCTGGTTATCATTCGTAGATTGGTGATTATTTAGAAGAAGTGGCGTACGTGTGTGTGTGTGTGTTTGCGTTTTTGTATGTGTATATGTGTGTATACACGTGTGTGTATTGATATTAAGGGCTTTTTATTTTTCATCTTTTCTCATACATCATGACACTGACCGATATATTGTCATCGAATACATGACCATTTTTATTATTAAAGTTGATAGTTGATTTGGCTATTTGAATTATTTTTCTTTTAAAAAAAAATGTCAAAGATCACTGAAGAAAAATAATAAGATGTAGTAATTCAATCCCGAAACATTCAGTTATTTAGACAACATATTTATTTGGTCAACCGGTTAACAAATTAGTTAACCAATCAACCAACCAAATCAGTCAGTTAGTTATCCAATGATCTAACAACTAATCATTCAGTTGATCAGTCAGTCAGTCAGTCAATCACTCATTCAATGACGGTAATTCGCACCATGTCATATTGTCTACGCCACCCGGTTTGATTATTTTTTTTTTAAAGAATTTTCTATGAAAAATAACAACACTAATAATAACAGTAACAGTAGAATTAATATTTAAATCAGAAATGAAAATTATATACACATAGATTGGAAATAAAACACCAATTGTCTTTTGATTACTTAAAACTTCCCTTCGCCTTAAATCGATTGGTTTATCTTAGATTTTTTTTTCAAAAACGTTTTCATGACAGACGATAGAAGAGAAGAAAAAGAAGAAGAAAGCAGTCTGTTTTTTTTTCTAAAGTCATGTGGGGTTATGTTCGTACACATACTTTACTATTTTGATCTGTTTAAATCAAACTGGTATCATTACGATAAAATATAGCCATGTATACTGTTCTATCAACTGATGTACCTACACAAATATAAAATAACAAGATTGTGATAATAACAAATTTCTTGAAAATTTTGTTTCATTTTGTTTCCCTGCTCAGTGTTACAGAAATGATTATTTGTAATAAAAAAGGGGGAGGTACACAACGGGTGAAATAGTTACAATGAATTAGTTTGATTGTATTCCTTAAATCATGTAAATAAATAGAATGGTTCAAAAATAATCCCCATATCAATATGCAGAAACTTCTCATTATTACATCCGTGTTTCCTTGGTACTAGTGAAATAAACTCATTCTAAATCATATCTTTATATGAATTACTTCACCTGTAAATGTTCTAGACTCTGGAATAACCTACCACAATCTATCTGCACGACAAAATCACTCCCATTATTTGTTCGCTGCATCGATGCACACTGCTCCTCTGAAAATGCATTGAATGGTCTAGCGCCTTCAAGTGTATCTCATTCCACAAGTAGTATTATGAGATCTTTAAATGTTTAGTCATTTTTATTAGTGCATTCCCTAGGTAAAACCACCTACATGCTGTCACTTTATGTTAACACCGTCCCTAGCAAGTTTAACTAATTTGAATAACATAAACACTATATCACTGTGTCACATGACGCACGCATTTAGGTAGACTTGATTCATATATTTTGGTAATTACTGCTTTGTTGTTCCGTGCTCTCTGTTTTCGTTTTAATTTCTCTAGTTGTAGATAATTATCATTATTTAGATTTGGCACACGAAATGACCTTAATTACTCCGTTCATAAATCAACAGGCTGTCCATTTAAGAAATATTAAAAATTCCTGGCTGATACATTGGATCACTGTAATATATGTACTACCTAAACAATTACTGAACTAGTATACTTAAGACTTTCTTCTATCACATGTTTGTTCTGCACATTTACATCAAATTGATCATGCCTGTAAACTGGCGTGAATTCTGTAATTATTATTTTCAGAATATAAATTATTATTATTATAAGTAGATTAGAAATTAAGCAGATAGTCAAGAAAATATTAGTAATGTATTCGAGTAATGTATTCTTATTTGTGTGTCTTTCTGAAATCAATACGTTTCAATGAGAGCTATGAAGACTGAAAAGATGATATAATACTAGGACTACCATCGATCATCTGTGTTGATATTTGATAATTGGGTAACTATTTCTTTTCAATCTCCAACTCACTGTTAGTGTGAATTCAGATGAACTTAGTTTTGTAAAATATAACGTTGAGAAAGTTGTATGCAAAAGTTATCTCAACATTGCTGACATTTGATCATAAGTTGAATGAAAAGAACGAAACAGTCTAAGATGAAGAATTCTGATGACTTTCAAGTGTGTTTGAAGTATAAATGGAGACTAAAGAAATATACTGTCAGAAATGGGGCATATTAGAGAGATAAAATATTAATGCATCCAAAGTTTCTAAAGTATTTTTGTGACATCAGATGAGACACTTGTTGTTTGTAAACGAAAACATGTCACACAATCAATCTATTAATTAATAGTGGTGTACGATATATTGAAGACAAGGTTGAGACAATGGTGGGCTTAAGAGTAATTTCCATAAAAATAAAAGGACGAAATGAAACTATCTCAAGAATAAGATATAAATATCTCCATAGTGACCTTCCACGAAGACAAAGATGTTACTTAATAGTTAACAGTATACTGGTTTACCGAGTCTTTTTCCTGGGAAATGTGACCTGTTGATGATCAAGTGACCTGAGAATTGACGGCAATGTTAATTCATCCGTGAATTGGTGGATTGAAACAGAAGAACTGACATATACAATTTAATTCCAAAAATAAATGAAGAAAATTACCTTCTATAAGCTTTATTAAAAGATTATTCCACTGGTTGAAATCGTGAGTCAATTGAAGCTAGACCACCATGGAAAATCTCGAAGCACTGGACGGCCGTTTCGTCCTAGTATGGGAATCCTCAGCAGTGCGCATCCACGATCCCGCCGTTGGATGCCGGATTAGTGGTCTAGTTGGTTAAGCGCCTGGCGCGAGACCGATAGGTCCTGGGTTCGAATCCCGCGAGGTGCGGGATCGTGGATGCGCACTGCTGAGTCCCAAAGTAGGGCGAAACGGCCATCCAGTACTTCCAAGTATTTACATTTATAATTACTCAATAAAATCAACGTCATACAATCCATTTTTGTTTAGTTATCTTTATGAGTAGAATATAAATAATATAAATAATTGACAAATAAGAATGTAAACAGAGATGACAACTGAAACTAATATGAAAAACAATTAATTTCATTACGAAGTATAAAACAGGAAGTAAATAAAATGTAAAATTATAAAACCAACTAACTATTACAATATAACTATAACAGATACATAGCAGATATATAGCAGATATATATCAGATACACAGCAGATACATAGCAGATACATAGCAGATACATGTGTACGTTTAGAACTGTTATAATTTCATTAGCATTTTAGGATTTTTTATATTAAATAGTTTTATCATATTATTGTGAAAATAATGGATAATTAAAACAAACTGAATTGAATGTTTCAAGTGTTCGCTTCAAATACAGACTTCATTTTTTTCATTCATAACGATGCTTTTTTTGTAGGAAATAAGGATAATAAGTCACATCTCAAATCTTTCCAAAACTATTCAAACTAGATCTTTCACACCTATTAAGAGTAAGAACTAACTTGTTCAGCGATATTATTTTAACATAGAATATACAGACATTTTATGTGGGACCATTTTTCAAATTGAGAAACTTCTCTTCTGTATGACATCTAAAACCTTAAATTGTATCTAAATAGTTTGTTTTTGTCTAAGAGGAAATTAATTAATTTGACTTTTCAGCATTTCATCGATACATAAAGTAATCTCCTACCTTTCTAAAACGATTTTAATTATAGGGTCTTAAATAAATTAATTAGTGAAAAGTACACACGAAGCTAAATTTATTCAATGTAGCATTATCGTTGATTTGCTTACAAGCTTCCTGAGATTTTCTAAGGATTTAGGGACATGCTTTAAACATAGTTTATATTTCCTCTACTTTCGTATTTAGCTCTCAAAATGTTTCTCCCGCATTGACAGCATTTCAGCTAATATAGTAGAATACGGAGATATAAATTAGTTATTTCTCTTTTCGAATTATGTCATTAAATTTCGATAATCTAGACTGGTAATAAAATAAACCTCCTTCAGTGCTTCTTTACAGTACGGGATGACAATAGAGCTTATCTAAGCTTCTCATACATTTCATTTTTACTAATTCTTTTTACAAATTTAGTAGTGTAATTATTTGTCATTGGTTTAGATATAAATTTAATTCAAAGTTTTAATCTTCTGTCTCCAAAGTGAGATTATTACTTCTACTTTTCAGATTTTTAGTAACTGTGATCTTTATTGATGCAGCATATGTAGGTTCTTAATGTATATATTTCTCAGCATCACAGTGTTGAGAAAAGAATGTTTCAAGGTCAAAATAAGGAATGCGTTTCCTTATCCATACTACCTATTAAATTAATAAGAATAATTATTGGCAAACACAGTAGCAGACAAGATGTCGATGATTACTAACAAGTGACTATTGCGTATAAGAAGCTCAAACAACATCTTAACTCGAACTATAGCACTAAACTACGTATTTATTAATACCAAAATTGGTATAGATCCCTTCACCAAGGAAAACAAATCCAGCCGATAAATGTTAATCAAGATAAATCCTACCGATAATTTCAAACATTTAACATCATAAAGGGAAGCATAAATAACGTTTATACGTTTAGATGTTGGAGTTATATCCTATTTTGAATTATTGATAAACTTACGAATAACTTTATTCGAAGTAACTTTAGTAAGACAATTATTGAAGATCGGGAAGCATTGGACAGCTTTTTTCTGGTTTTCAAATATATTTATAAATATGTCTTATAAAAACCACTATATATATTTATATATAGTAATGCCTGTTACCCCTCGTGGAGAAGCATAGGCCGCCCACCAGTTGTTGTTAATTGCTATCTTCTTGTTCTTTCTTTATTGAATCTTGTCTAGGGTTTCCATAGAGATCCATTCCCTATGATGGTGATTTTGCGGCCCAGAACCTTTATATATATATATATATATATATATATATATATATATATATATATATAATCCTGTTTATGTATTTTTGTTCTATTTCATTTTATTTATAAAATTTAGGTTAGCATATAAAACAATACTGAAGTGAAAAGAGAAACTCCTCATATAATATGATATAATATAGGTAACAATATTTTCATGCACACAGTCATAAACAATAATGAAATAACAGATAACTTCATTATATTTCTCTTTTCCCATGTTTAATTAGAAAATAAATAAATAAAACCTAGTCAGTAAAAAATGAGAGCAAAGAGAGAGGAACAAAAGTTGAGTTAGTGGGTGAGTAAATGAGTGAGTTAGTGAGTGAGTGGGTGGATAGATGTTTGTTTGAGTAGGAGAATGAATGATGATAAGAGAGTTAGTACGAAGTATGAGAAGTAAAATCAAGAAAATTTTCTTAAATAACCTTATAAATAACAAAAAAAAACAGAAAAAAACAGTGAAAAGAAAAAGAGCTGAAAAGAAAAATCATATTAATGATAAATTATTATTATGTTTTAATGGATGATGTCAATTTTTCTTTTTATTCTATTAAGAAATATTGTCCATTTAAAATAAAAGAAACACAAAATGAATAAACAAACAATATATATTCAACTCACTAGCATTTTTCATTGTTATCCTTATTATCACCATTATTATTATTATTAATCTGTCATTATATAAATGTCAAACTTAATCATCCTTTTTTTCATGCTTAATCCCTTTTGAAAATATTAAAAACAACATTTGTCAATAAATTTCAACAAAGAAATGTGAACAATATATCTTTTTTAACTTCTCTATTCCAACTGGTCGTCTCTAGTTACTTACTTACGTACTTAGGCCGGTTACTTCTAATGGACCATGGGCTAACGATCAGTATTCTTCAACCCACTCTGTCCTGAGCCTTCATTTCCAGTTCTGTCCAATTTTTGTTCACTTGTCTCATGTCTGTCTCCATTTCTCGGCGTAATATGTTCTTTGGTCTTTCTCTTTTCAGTTGGCTTTGAAGATTCCATGTGAGAGCTTTTCTTGTGATATAGTTGGGTGCTTTCCTCAATGTGTGTCCTATCCACTTTCATCGCTTTTTCCTGATTTTTTCCTCCACTGGAATCTGGTTTGTTCTCTCCCACAGTAGATTGTTGTTGATAGTGTCTGACCAACG